GTCGAATTACACTTAATTCTCTAATGCCTGAACCCTATGGGATCCCAGGAGTTGTAGTTTACCAAGGCCTTTACCCTGAGCCATGGCGGTTCATGTGGCACCAAGCTGCATTCATTCCTCAGTGACAATGTGCACAATATCCCTCCAAGCTACAAGTTGTAGTTTGGGAGTTGTAGTTTTCCAAGGCCTTTACCCTCCAAGGCCTTTACCCTGAACCATGGCGGTTCATGTGGCACCAAGTTGCATTCATTCCTCAGTGACGATGCACACAATATCCCTCCAAGCTACAAGTTGTAGTTTGGGAGTTGTAGTTTTCCGAGGTCTTTACCCCCCAAGGCCTCTATCCTGAGCCATGGCAGTTCACGTGGCACCAGGTTGCATTCATTCCTTAGTGACGATGCACACAATATCCCTCCAAGCTACAATTTGTAGTTTGGGAGATGTAGTTTTCCAAGGCCTTTAACCTCTAAGGCCTTTATCCTGAGCCATGGCAGTTCATGTGGCACCAAGGTGCATTCATTCCTTAGTGACGAAGCACACAATATCTCTCCAAGCTAAACGTTGTAGTTTGGAAGTTATAGTTATCCAAGGTCTTTACCCTCTAAGGCCTTAACCCTGAACCATGGCAGTTCATGTGGCACCAAGTTGCATTCATTCCTCAGTGACGAAGCACACAATATCTCTCCAAGTTAAACGTTGTAGTTTGGAAGTTGTAGTTTTCCAAGGCCTTTGCCCTCATCTGTCCAAAGAGTGCCCATGCCTCTCCAAACCACATCACTCATGCTTCCATAGCATTGAATGAAGGCACTTCAAATGGTGTCAAACTGCATTCATTCCACAGTGTAGATGCAGCCTTGCTCTCTTGTAGTTCTCCAAATAATAAATACATCGGATTGCTTAACTTTTGACATTTGCCGGTCCCTTTCTCCGGATGGGTTTGGCACCGGCCTCGGCCTCATTGGTGACGTGTGCATTATGTGTGTGTGTGTCATGTGTGTGTCCCAGGGATGTGAGAGCGAAGCAGCTGTGCTGCCCGAGGCCACGGGCTCCGTGTGCCACGCTGTGCTTGGAGCGCGTGGCCCTGCCAGGCGGGTCAAGGACTCCTTCGAAGCATAACCCACGACAAAACCCACAAAGGGTGACACACGTGTTTGATAGCTGAGTGGGATGAAATGGTGACTTGTGATTCTGTGTTTTGCTTGCAGTCCGGTCAAGATAATAGAGCAACAACAACACCACACACACACACACACACACACACGAGCCGGGTTAAGGGCAATCAATGTCATTGCCATCAACTCTCTCCCGATTTGGTCACATCTCACCTGGAATGACCCTTGCTCAATTCTGAGCAGAGAGGTCCACAGAAGGGCCACCGAAAGGGTCAAAGGGCTGGAAACTATGAGTCCCAAAGAAGAAATAATTAGGGAAGTATGTTTAGCTTGAAAGAGAAAAGCTTGAGAGAAAGCAACATGTTTAAATATGGGAAATGATGAGGGAATTGAGTATTGAGGAGGGAATAGGGTATTTTTCTGCTGCTCCAGAGACTAGGACACAAGGGAGCCATGGATGCCAATGGCAAGAAAAGAGATTCCACCTAAACATTAGGAAGGATTTTGAGTCTCCTTGGGAGAGATAAAGCAGGGATAATAATAATAATAATAATAATAATAATTATTATTATTATTATTATTATTATTATGAACTTCCTGGTGATCAGAGCTGATTCATTGTGGAATATACAGCTTTCTTGGAGGACACTGCCTGGCTCAAGAGCGATACGTGTGAAAAAGATCTTGGAGTCCTCATGGACAACAAGTTAAACATGAGCCAGAAATGTGATGTGGCAGCAAAAAAAGCCAATGGGATTTTGGCCTGCATCAATAGGAGCATAGTGTCTAGATCTAGGGAAGTCATGCTCCCCATGCTCTATTCTGCTTTCGTTAGACCACACCTGGAATATTGTGTCCAATTCTGGGCACCACAATTGAAGAGAGATATTGACAAGCTGGAATGTGTCCAGAGGAGGGCGACTAAAATGATCAAGGGTCTGGAGAACAAGCCCTATGAGGAGCGGCTTAAGGAGCTGGGCATGTTTAGCCTGAAGAAGAGAAGGCTGAGAGGAGATATGATAGCCATGTATAAATATGTGAGAGGAAGCCACAGGGAGGAGGGAGAAGCTTGTTTTCTGCTTCCCTGGAGACTAGGACGCGGAACAATGGCATCAAACTACAAGAAAGGAGATTCCATCTGAACATGAGGAAGAACTTCCTGACTGTGAGAGCCGTTCAGCAGTGGAACTCTCTGCCCTGGAGTGTGGTAGAGGCTCCTTCTTTGGAAGCTTTTAACAGAGGCTGGATGCCATCTGTCAGGGGTGATTTGAATGCAATATTCCTGCTTCTTGGCAGAAAGGGGTTGGACTGGATGGCCCAGGAGGTCTCTTCCAACTCTTTGAGTCTATGATTCTATGATTCTATGATGAAGTCTACTCTGGATGGCCATCTTTTAGAAAGGATCAGATGCAATCTACCTTGAGTGTTGAGGAAAAGCAGGAAGAAATAAAATTGTTGTTTTTGTTGTTGTTGTTAATCAATACATAACAAGATGAGTCCACAGCAAACAAAATCACTCTGCTGGCTGTTGTATTGGATCACACATCGGACCCTTCCCAAGTGTCTAGAACTGTGTGATGTATCAGTGAATAATGCATGAAGATCCCATTAGGGTAGTAATTTTGTCAGCACCAGTTGTTTTTAAGTCCAGGCCAAGGTCTTTAGGCACTGCACCCATTATTATTATTATTATTATTATTATTATTATTATTATTATTATTATTATTTCTGTGTTAGCTGGCCCGGATTGCTTTTTGTCTGGAATTCCCCCAGAACACCTCCCAACAAAGGATTCCCCCAGGGGAAACCAGTCAAGCTTTGAAGCTGCAAAGCCATTCATTGCTAATCAAGCTGGTCAATGGCAACATTCGCACTTGCCTCAAGCAGACAAGAGTTCTTTCTCCCACCCTGGACATCATTCCACAGATATATACACCCAATTTTCCTAGTTTCCAAGAGACCTCACAACCTCTGAGGATGCCTGCCACAGATGTGGGCAAAACATCAGGAGAGAATGCTTCTAGGACATGGACGGGCAACCTGGAAAACTTGCAACAACCCAGTAATTCTGGCCATGAAAGCCTTCGACAACACAATGATAATAATAATAATAATAATAATAATAATAATAATAATAATTTTATTTCTTATCTGCTTTTCATCTCTTGAGGTGGGTTGTATCCATCCCAACAGCAATCCATAATAATAATAATAATAATAATAATAATTATTATTATTATTATTATTATTAGAAACACAACAAGGTGAGTCCACAGCAGACACTTTGCTGGCTGTTGTATTGGATCACACGTCAGACACTTCCCAAGTGTTTAGGACTGTTTGATGTATTGGCGAATAATGTGTGCAGATCCCAGTAAGGTGGCCTTCTGCAGCTGGCAGATGGTAATTTTGTCAGTGCCGATTGTGTTTAAGTGCAGGCCAAGGTCTTTAGGCACTGCACCCAGTCTTTGCAGTTCGATCTTTAAATCCTCATATCGTGTCAGCTTTTCCAGTTGTTTCTCTGCTAGCCTGCTGTCACCTGGGATTGCGACATCGACGATCCATACTTTGTTTTTTAACACAATCGTGAGGTGAGGAGTGTTGTTGTCCAAAACTCTGTCTGTCTGAATCTGGAAGTCCCAGAGTAGCTTGATGTGTTCATTCTCTGTAACTTTTTCCGGCTTGTGATCCCACCAGTTCTTTGTCGCAGGCAGATGGTATTTGTGGCACAAGTTCCAATGAATCATCTAAGCAACAGTGTTGTGCCTCTGCTTGTAGTCTGTCTGTGCGATCTTCTTGCAGCAGCTAAGGATGTGATCTATTGTTTCATCTAATTATTATTATAATTATTATAATTAATTATTATTAATATTTCTGTCATGTCAGGAGCGACCTGAGAAACTACAAGTCGCTTCTGGTGTGAGAGAATTGGCCGTCTGCAAGGATGTTGCCCAGGGGACGCCCAGATGATTTGATGTTTTTATCATCCTTGTGGGAGGCTTCTCTCATGTCCCCGCATGAGGAGCTGGAGCTGATAGAGGGAGCTCACCCACCTCTCCCCTGATTCGAACCTGTGACCTGTTGGTTTAACCCACTGCGCCACTGGGTTAATAAATATCAATAAATAAGTAAATAAAATAAATTAATTATTGAATAATCACATTATTAAAGTAAATTAAATTATTACATTATTAAATAATAATAATAATAATAATAATAATAATAATGTCCCTTGTACTATATTCCTGAGCTAGGATTTGGATTCTGGTGAAGAATCCTTTTCTGGATGTTTTTAAACAGAAATTGAATGGCTATCTGTTTAGAAGGCTTGGATATGGATTCCTAACTGGCAGAAGGAGGTTGGACTGGATGGCCTTTGGGGTCCCTTCCATATCTAAGTTCCTATGAACAAAGGCAGCCAGAAAGGATAATATTGGAGAGGCACAGCCAAAAAAAGCAACACCAAGTGTGCACAACCCTTTTGTGGAAGCATACTATTTATTTATCGTGTCAGGAGTGAACCAAACAGTTGTATCAAAAAACAACAACAACAACACAAAGTTTGCAAACTTGGCATTCTATTAAATGTCCTTTGCATACTGAATGGTCCAATCAGCATGATAGTTACAACAGATAGGTCAACACAACCTACAAGGCAGAGCTTGAAAAGGAACACAACAAAAGTACCCAACAGCCACAAGAGAAGATTCAATAGTGCTGAACAGAGGCTGCAAGGAAGGAGAATATTGGAGGGGGCACTGTATAGAAGCCAAAACCAACACAATGCACATATATGTCACACACACACAATACAACACAACACACACACACAGCCCAGCCCTTCTCCCCGCCCACCAAATACGTCCCGCCCACATTCCCCTCCCTGGCTCTGTGCTGCTTTGGAGCTGTCCATCCATTCAGTGCTGAATCCCTCTCTCGCCTCCAAAGAGCCTGCAGGACGCGCCTCCTTCTCCTCCTCCTCCTCCTCCTCCTCTTCTTTTTCCTCCTTCTCGATTCCGAGTCGGAAGCCTGTCCGCGTGTGGACCTCCCCCCCGAGGCTCCTTTTCGCGTGTTAGACTCGCTTTAGCACCGCTTCCCAGGGAGCCCAGACCCTCTCCAAAGCGTCCCTTAGGTGCCCAAAAGACGCACGGATTTGGACACAAAGGAGAAGCGCCTCCAAGTTGAAGTTGAAGGAGGAGGAGGAGGATTCAAGGCAGGGAAACGTCTCCTTCTCCATCCCAAGAGCTGAAGGACTTTGCTCTCCAAGAAGGCTTGGTTGAAGTTCAAGAAGGAAGAGGAGGACCAAGGCAGGGAAGCATCTCCTCCTCCATCCCAGGAGCTGAAGGACTTTGCTCTCCAAGAAGGCTTGGTTGAAGTTCAAAAAGGAAGAGGAGGACCAAGGCAGGGAAGCATCTCCTCCTCCATCCCAGGGGCTGAAGGACTTTGCTCTCCAAGAAGGCTTGGTTGAAGTTCAAGGAGGAAGAGGAGGACCAAGATAGGGAAGCATCTCCTCTTCCATCCCAAGAGCTGAAGGACTTTGTTCTCCAAGAAGGCTTGGTTGAAGTTCAAAGAGGAAGAGGGGGACCAAGACAGGGAAGCATCTCCTCCTCCATCCCAAGACCTGAAGGACTTTGCTCTCCAAGAAAGGTTGGTTGAAGTTCAAGGAGGAAGAGGAGGACCAAGGCAGGGAAGCATCTCCTCCTCCATCCCAGGAGCTGAAGGACTTTGCTCTCCAAGAAGGCTTGGTTGAAGTTGAAAGAGGAAGAGGAGGATTAAGGCAGGTAAGCATCTCCTCCTCCATCCCAGGGGCTGAAGGACTTTGCTCTCCAAGAAGGCTTGGTTGAAGTTGAAAGAGGAAGAGGAGGACCAAGGCAGGGAGGCATCTCCTCCTCCATCCCAAGAGCTGAAGGACTTTGCTCTCCAAGAAGGGTTGGTTGAAGTTCAAGGAGGAAGAGGAGGACCAAGGCAGGGCAGCCTCTTCTTCTCCATCCCAGGAGCTGAAGGACTTTGCTCTCCAAGAAGGGTTTGGTTTCAGCTTCTTCTGGGAGTCCCCCTTCTTTGGGAGGAAGAGGTTTCCAGAAGGGTCAGGAGAAGGTGGCCTCACCTCTTCTTGGAAGGAGCAAGTGGGCATGGGCAAGCCACTGGCGACCCTGGAAGAGTGAGCAAGAGCCAGAAGGAAGGGAAAGAAGAGAGAAGGGTCCCAAGCAAGGTGTGGGGTATTCCCCCCAAGAGGAAGCCCCCAGCTCCCCCTTCTCCACCCACTTCTCTTATGGCTTGAAGGTAGGGATGTTGACATATTTTCTTCTCTTTGCTTGGAAATGGAGAGTTATTCTCCAAGTCTATTCTGATCTGTGGCATTGTTTGGCAGTGTGGGCAAACGCTGAGTAAATGTGGTGGGAAGCAAAGGAAAGGCAGAAGGGACTTCCAGACAGCACAGGCACTCTCTCCTCCAACCTTCTCGCCTTTCTTTCTTTTTAAGTCAATGGGAACTAGGTTGCTGTGAGTTTTCCAGGTTCTATAGCCAATATGTTCCAGAAGCATTCTCTCCTGATGTTTCACCCACATCTATGGCAGGTTTGTTGAAGGTTTGTTGGAATCTATCTGTAGAATGATGTCCAGGGTGGGAGAAAGAACTCTTGCCTGTTTGAGGCAAATGTGCATGTTGCAATTGGCCACCTTGATTAGTATTGAACAGTCTTGCAGTTCCAAAGCCTGACTTCTTCCAGCCTGGGGGACTCTTTTGTTGGGAGGTGTTAACTAGCCCTATTAAGAGCCCCCGGTTGCGCAATGGGTTAAATCCTTGTTCCTGCAGTAGTGAGAATAATCTTCCAGCTTCAAAGCCTAGGTGCTTCCTGCTTGGGGGAATCCTTTGTTGGGAGGTGTTAACTAGCCTTATTAGGAGCCCCCAGTGGCACAATGGGTTAAACCCTTGTGCCAACAGGACTGAAGACCGACAGGTTGGAAGTTCAATTCTAGGGAGAGAGAGGATGAGCTCCCTCTGTCAGCTCCAGCTCCCCATGCGGGGACACGAGAGAAGCCTCCCACAAGGGTGATAAAACATCAAAACATCTGGGTGTCCCTGGGCCAGTTCTCTCACACCAGAAGCAACTTGCAGTTTCTCAAGTCACTCCTGAGATGAGAAAAACTGGAGGTTCAATTCCAGGGAGAGTGCGATGAGCTCTTTCTGTTAGCTCCAGCTCCCACAAGGGTGATAAAACATTAAAACATCTGAGCAATGTCCCCTGGGCAACATCCTTGCAGATGGCCAGTGCTCTCACACCAGAAGCAACTTGCAGTTTCTCAAGTCACTCCTGAGATGAGAAAAATTGGAGGTTCAATTCCAAGGAGAGTGCAGATGAGCTCTCTCTGTCAGCTCCAGCTCCCCATGTGGGGACATGAGACAAGCTTCCCACAAGAGTGATAAAACATCAAAACATCTGGGCAATGTCCCCTGGGCAACATCCTTGCAGACGGCCAGTTCTCTCACACCAGAAGCAACTTGCAGTTTCTCAAGTCACTCCTGAGATGAGAAAAATTGGAGGTTCAATTCCAGGGAGAGTGCGGATGAGCTCCCTCTGTCAGCTCCAGCTCTCCATGTGGGGAGATGAGAGGAGTCTCCCACAAGGGTGATAAAACATCAAAACATCTGGGTGTCCTTGCAGACGGCCAGTTCTTTCACACCAGAAGCGACTTGCAGTTTCTCCTGACACACACATACAAAATTGGCCCTGATTGTTTCTTGTCTGGAATTCTAAAAGTCTAAAATCAGTACAGTAAATAAAGAACAACACTCAGAAGACAGGAAAATTCCAGACAAGAAAAAATCAGGGCCAGTTAACACCCCCCAACAAAGTATTCCCCCAGGCAGGAAAGAGCCAGGCTTTGAAGCTGCCACGCTATTCAAGTTGGCCAATTGAAACATTTACACTTGCCTCAGGCAGACAAGAGTTCTTTCTCCCACCCTGAACATCCCACAGATATATAAACTGTTAGGAATGGTGGGAATTGGAGTCCAAAATACCTGGAAAGCCCAAGTTGGCCCAGTCCTGATTTAGATGAAGAACGTTGTCTCCAAAGTATTTTGTCTTTGCCTGATTTTTTGTTAGGTGGGAGCAGCAAGCAAACACATTATGCTGTCGCTGCAACGCAAAACACATTGACTCCGCATTGATATGGATTGTTATTGATGATGTGGCATGATTAAGTATGTGGATACTTTTACTTGCTCCACTTACACCATGAGGAAAGTTCCCATTTTTTGCACCGCAGAACGAGCTTGCAACAAGCACGCCCTTCCTGCAAGTCAATATTTCTGTTGCTCGGTTATGGGCTTTGCTCATTCCTTCAGTAAACTGTGGGGAAACGTGACCTTCTAGGTTACCCATCCAATTGTGTAAGGTTTACTTAGTAAACAAAGACAACATTTAAATATTTTGCAAGAAGCCTTGGGTTTTGCTTCCTCTCCAAGAGGTTGTGTCACGCAGGGATTTTCTTTCCCCCTTTCCACACCATTCTTGGCATGGAGATGGTTGTTTATTTTATTTTGTTGTATTATGTATTTGTTGTGTTTATTTTCTATTGTCTTGCATATTATTTTGTTGTGTTATGTTTGGGCTCGGCCTCATGTTAGCCACCCCGAGTCCCCATTGGGGAGATGGTGGCGGGGTATGAATAAAGCTTATTATTATTATTATTATTATTATTATTATTATTATTACTATTAAGAGCAAATTTCTGGCACCAAAAAGGTTGAGGGAAATTGTGAAAAGTGGGGTATGAATAAAGATGATGATGATTATTATTATTATGAGCAAATTTCTGGCACCAAAAAGGTTGAGGAAATTGTGAAAAGCGGGATATAAATAAAGCTTATTATTATTATTATTATTATTATTATTATTATTATTATTATTATGAAGAGCAAATTTCTGGCACCAAAAAGGTTGAGGGAAATTGTGAAAAATGGGGTATAAATAAAGATTATTATTATTATTATTATTATTATTATTATTAGCAAATTTATGGCACCAAAAAGATTGAGGGGAATTGTGAAAAGTGGGGTATAAATAAAGCTTATTATTATTATTATTATTATCATTATTATTATTATTATTATTATTAAGAGCAAATTTCTGGCACCAAAAAGGTTGTGGGAAATTGTGAAAAGCAGGGCTTCCAAAGTCACATCTCTACCAATTTATTATCATACTTGCACCCTATTCCCTGCTTATATCATCTTCATATGTGGTGCACCAATTTAAACCGCTGAGCTGCTGAGCTTGCTGACTGAAAGGTTGGCAGTTCAAATTTGGGAAGCGTGGTGAGCTCCCGCTGTTAGCCCCAGCTTCTACCAACCTAGCAGTTGCAGACAGCCAATTCTCTCACCCCAGAAACGACTTGCAGTTTCTCAAGTCGCTGCTGACATGAAAAAAAAAAGTTTGGAAACATGCAAATGTGAGTAGATCAATAGGCAAACCAAGAATGGGCAATGTGGAAGTCCCTGAACAGACTCAGAAGTGGAGTGGGCAGTTCAAAAGGCAACCTGGCAAAATGGCATGACCTAAAAGAATCCCACACCTTGTGTGGCTGTGGAGCAGAACAGACAACTCCGCATCTGTATGCTTGTCCACTATGCCCTGCATTATGTATGGAAAAAGAATTGTTGGAGGTTACAGACAATGTCGTTGCTGTTGCTCGTTTTTGGTCAAAAGATATTTAGCACTCCTTCTATTTTTATTAGTTTTATACTAATTTATGCAATGCTTTTGATATAAAATAAATAAATAAATAGGTACCATTCCGGCGGGAAGGTAATGGCACTCCATGCAGCCATGCTGGCCACATGACCTTGGAGGTGTCTACGGACAATGCCGGCTCTTTGGCTTTGAAATGGAGATGAGCACCAATTTCCTCAGACAGACACAACTAGACTTGATGTCAAGTGGAAATATTTACCTTTACTTAGGTGTAAGTGTAAAGTGTTACACTTAGGCAGGAAAAAAATGCAATGCACGGATTTAGGATGCATGAAGCCTGGCTTGAAATAGTCCATGTGGAAGGGATCTTGGAGCCTTAGTGGACCACAAGCAGAACATGAGGCAAGAGTATGATGCAGCAGATGAAAAATCCCATTGACTTTTGGGCTGAATCAAAAGGAAGATGGAATGGTGCTTCTTTATTCTGCTTGGGTCAGACCTCATTTTGGATAGCGCTGTGTCCCATTCTGGGCAAAGCAATCCAAGAAGGAAATGGACAAGCTGGAAGATGTCCACAGAAGTAGAGCAATCCAAGAAGGATATTGAAGTGTCCACCAAAAGAGTCAAAGGTCTAGAAATTATAAAGCCCTCTGAGGAGTTGGTTATGTTTATCTTGGAGAAGAGAAGAACAAGAGAGCCAGGTTTAAATATTGGAAAGGATGTCCCAGTGAGGAGGAGGCCAAGCTTGTTTTATGCCACTCTGGAGACTAGGATGCAATCGAACTGTGGATTCAAACGGCAGGAAAAAGATTCCATCTAAACATTAGGAAATACTTGCTGATGGTTAATGCTGTTCTGGCCCAGATTACCTGTCCAAACGTATCTCCTGCTATGAACCATCATGAAGCTTAAGATCATCAGGAGAGGCCCTGCTCTCGATCCCACCACTCTCACAAACGCGGTTGGTGGGGACGAGAGACAGGGCCTTCTCGGCAGTGGCCCCCCGTCTGTGGAACTCTCTCCCTAAGGATATCATAGAATCAAATCATAGAATCAAAAAGTTGGAAGAGACCTCAGTCCAACCCCATTCTGCCAAGAAGCAGAAATATTGTAGTCAAATCACCCCTGACAGATGGCCATCCAGCCTCTGTTTAAAAGCTTCCAAAGAAGGAGCCTCCACCACACTCCGGCAGAGAGTTCCACTGCTGAACGGCTCTCACAGTCAGGAAGTTCTTCCTCATGTTCAGATGGAATCTCCTTTCTTGTAGTTTGAAGCCATTGTTCAGCGTCCTAGTCTCCAAGGAAGCAGAAAACAAGCTTGCTCCCTCCTCCCTGTGGCTTCCTCTCACATATTTATACATGGGTATCATATCTCCTCTCAGCCTTCTCTTCTTCAGGCTAAACATGCCCAGCTCCTTAAGCCGCTCCTCATAGGGCTTGTTCTCCAGACCCTTGATCATTTTAGTCGCTCTCCTCTGGACACATTCCAGCTTGTCAATATCTCTCTTGAATTGTGGTGCCCAGAATTGGACACAATATTCCAGGTGTGGTCTAACCAAAGTGGAATAGAGCATGGGGAGCATG